CATGGTCTTTATCAGAGGAGCTTGTATCAGGCAATACCTGGAGTGTCTCCATTAATCCAAATTTTGAAAACCAGTAACTGAAACAAATCAGTATTTGTGCACTGACTGGAAAGAAACCCCTGCAGACTCACCACGACTGAAAATATCTTTCTGTGGCTATGTGACTCCCTCCTCGATCCTTCTCTAAAAAGAGAAGGGTCAAAGCAAAATGCTGGCAGCCCGATTAAATCTTTGAAGAAACAGTGTGCTTTCCAGTTATGAGAGGATGGAAAAATGAGAACCCTGGAGATCTTTTAGGAACATTAGGCTTTATTGATCAGGAATGTACTTGCCACATACCAACATTCCCAAACAGTACACTGAATCAGATAAATGCCAGGGAGTAACAGAACCCATCTAGTTTGGTCTTCTGTCTTATGGGAAGTTCCACTATGCTCTAGAAGGTGGTCTTCCAAGCCATTCCTTTAAAAAGAAACCTCCCCTCCTTCCATAATACCTATAGGTTGTGTGTTCCAGCACTTTACAACCCCTACAGTCAGAAAATGTCTCCTGATATCTAACTTGGTAATTTTCACTGCTCATTGAACTGATTTCTTTAGGTCTTTCTCCCAGTGGACATGAAGAACAATTAATCACTGTGCTCTTGATTATAAATTTTCACTCAATAGATTTTTTATTTTTTCTTTTTTAGTTTATTCTCCTTAAGGTACAACAAAAGCAACGCTTTCAGAAGCATGTAATGCCAGGTAAGGCTCCGACATATTCTCTAGCCCCTGGGCCAGATAACAATCAACCAGTTTCTGCTTTCTTCACAATTTTAACTCTAGGACAATTTCTGCCTTGACAAACATTTTTGACCTCTCCACATTTCCACTGGGGTTTCACAGGTAGAAATCAGGGCAGAATTTATCCCCATGAGTTTCTGGATTAATGCCTTGGTAAAGGAAGGGGAAAAGGCAAAATTAATTCTCTCTGTTAGTGCTAATGCTATTCCTCAGGGATAGTTGGCCCCAAGATATTCATCTTTGTTCAAAACAAGCACACTTCCATACTCATTTCACACTTGCAGCACAGCTTCTACAAGCCAATATCTGCATCAAAAAAAAAAAAAAGGGCTTAAACTCATGAGAGTCTGCATTCTGTCAGAGGACCAGGAACTGGGAATGGACTCAAAGCCCATCTTCGCCCACCTGAAGTTCCAGCTAAAACATCAAGTTATAGGAGGAAAGGTCAGGTCCCAGATCCATCAAGAATCATGAGGATTCTTGCCCTGAAAAGAACATGGTAGTGCATGTAGTGCTTGTTTGTTGCTTCAAAACTCTTCCTTCATCTAGAAGCAGAGCTGTGATGGACGAAGGCCTTCCCAGCCCTGACATCCTGACGCTACACATGCAGCCTGCACTCTGGGATGCCAGCTCACTGTGTCACATTGGCTTGGGTTCTGCCTCTTCCTTTCCTTATGCCTGCAAGCTCAATTGAACTTATGAAAATTCAAACTGTCTTCTGTCTGTTTCATACATCATCAGCAAACAATCACTAGACAAAATGAATTTGCTCTCTGTAATTTGGAGGTTACACAAATGCCTCTGCTGTATAATGCAAAAAAAAAAAAAAAGGAATAAAGTTTGGTATGCAAGGTTAACTCAGCATGGAGGAAAGTAGCAAAGAAACAGAGGGAGAACACGAACAATAAAATACTCAAAAGTGAGGAGAGTGACATGAGAAATACTTCTGTAAATTGGAGTTGGCCTTGCTACTTTTGAGTGATGGGATTAAACAAAGGCTCAAGCGAGTTGTGAAAGATCACCCCCAAGAGTGGCTGTATCACCATTCCTCATGATTTGGACACACAACATCCTTATTTATAATGACAATGGTTACTATTTATCCCCTAAGAGCTCTGCAAACACAAATTCACAAATTCAGTAATGTTCACAGAGCTGTATCAGTTTGAACTAGATTGAAAGAGTGATCTGCTGCACAAGGCACAGTGAGGTTAAATGACTTGTCCAATGCCACTCATTATCCATAATGAGTATCAGTATTCACTCAGTACCCATAAAGATTAGAACACCAGATCTCTAGGTCACTGATCAGATCAGGCTGTGTAAAGCTGAACCCTTGACAAACCAACCTCTTTTTTAACAAAAATAACATGGCATACACTCCTTACTGCCCTCAGCCCAGGCAACGTAACTAAAACTATTGCTTTGAAAGCACATGTTTTTCTTCCATACACAATATGTGTGCTGTCATTGTCTCATTCCAAAATCATGCAGACACTGAGTGTGAGCAAAGGTACCTGCTGGTGCTTGACTTAATCCTATTTGGGGTTAGTTGCAAACAGCAAAGTACTAAACCACATCCTTTAAGTTAAGTATTTGAGTAGTCCCATTGACCTCAAAAGATCTGCTTGCCTATCAACCCAGATGACTTTAGTTCAGAGAACCCAACAGAGCAAGAACCCAGCCCACAGACTTTTTGCATTGGCAGAATATCTGTCCCACATTTAGCAAGAGGAGTTTTTCATGCAGCTGTCTGACAGATGTTCAGGTGATGTGTATGTTAATGCTTCTTCTAATGCCATGTACCAAGTATTTTTTATTAGACCAAATTTGGCTCATCTTATAATAATCATTCACTTTAGGGACATCCCTATATTAACGCAAGATTTCCACCCTTTAATTAAAGAAATAAATTACAAAACTATCAGGATATGGCTTGCCCTTTCTCTTTGCTGTTTTTGGGTTAACACAGGAAAGCCCAAACAGCAAGTTCACCTTTTTAAGGATCTTACAATTAGAGACACCTGATTAGAGCAAACATAGAGGAAACAAAAGAAGTCCTCAAAGTATACCTTCCTCTATCAAAAGTGCCACTGCTGTTATTGTATCAAGCAACTGATTTCATGGGCAAGAGGTATAGCAAGAACACATCCTCATTTTACAGGATTTACATGCTTCTGTAAAACCTTCCTCACCTTTTTCTTCTGTATTCCAGGGACAGGCTATGCCAAGGCTACAGAACTTAAAAGCAGCTACAAGTTTAAAGGTGGGGGTGTTCGTGAGTTTCTTTGTTGCTGTTCTAGTTTCTCTTGTTTGTTTGTTTGTTTGTGGGGTTTTTTTTAAACTATTATACAAGAAACTCAAGGATTAAAAAGATGAGCTTTTACTTCATGGAATGGAAAGAAGACCTAGCCAGAACAGTCTTAGGAATCATGATCCCACGCTCCTTTCCCAGTTTGACCACTGATTTACTTGGACCTTGAGAAAGCTGCTCAACATCTCTGTGTGAATGCACTTGACACTCCTGATAAAAAAATGAAACCAAAAATATTTCCTGAACATGAGTTTTACACTTGTGTATTTATTTTCCCTTCAAAATCTAGAGTCCCATATAACTTTAAAAAGCTCATCCCAGCCAGCACCAATTGCTACTCTTATTTTGTCTTGGGCTCTCCATGCAGGACTTAGTGACCATCTGGATCCTGAAGATTCAAAGAACTTGCCTTAATTCACTCTTACACTGCTGCTGCATTTTGGAAAGAGAAATACTCCTGCTTTCCAACAAAAATTTTCCCGGTTGTTCACACTAAATTGCAAGAGAAGCATGAAATTTGGTACTCACAGATTCAGAAGAGTTCCCCCATTTTTCCCTGAACACCTCCCTTTAAATTGCTGCTGAACCCAGCAAATCCACGACTGTTTTCAACTCGGCTCACCAGTGTAATTGCAAGGTTAACCTCTGGTGGCCAGGGAAGCTGCTCACATTCAGCAATGAAGAGCAGAAAATGTTAAATACCATTCACTGGCCACAGCCTGCAGTTAATACACAATATTTAAACAACACAATGGCATGGCCCTTGCCAGTAATGTAAAAACACAGTGGAGTAGAGCCAGAATGGCACAATCTGCCTGTCTGAGTCATGCTTGGCTCTGTGTGCTGGAGGGGAAGGCTTTAGCTGCCCACAGTGTAACTGTACCCTCCAGCTAGTTTACAATAAAACATTAAAATATATTAAAAAGGGGGGGTGGGGGGTGGTGGTAAAGGCAGGATAAATCCTCTCTAATAGTTAAAATATTTTAAAACTGAAGTATAAAAGTACCACTTTGGAAGAAGGCTCTGGATTTCATTACAGACTGCATTGAGATCTTAAACAAGAAAACAAACTGACTTTGCTTTGTAATATTCCACAGCTATGTACTGTTCAACTGAAATCGATAATTTTCCTTTTTTTCTACAAGCTTCTGGATTTTTTTCATATATTATTTCATTTGATTAAGAGTATCTGAAACTACTGTATTTTCCAATCCTCTTTTGCATGCCTGTTGTTCAGTCACTGAAGTTCCAAATCTTAATTATTAACCCAAATACATTCAATAAACAGATTCTAAATAAGGGTAGATCAGAGTGATGTGCAATCTGACTTGCATTTATGGAATAACTATGCTCTTAGAAAAAGACTCCTTTCTTGCTGAGACGTAGATGTTATTTTGACTGTTTTGTTGTGTCACAGCAGAGATGAATTAGGCATTTCTGCCTTCATCTGCACCCTAAAGCAGCTGAAGTCCCCTGTGATGTCATGAGAAAGTTGTTTGTTTTTTCCTCATACAAAGGAGAAGAATTTGTTACAACATCATGAGAAGAGAATAAACTGTATTTTGTGCTATAAGGAATCTTCTGCTACTTTCTGTTATCTCTGCACCAACGTGCAGAAATCCTCTCTGACAAAGCGACAGCAACTGTAAGTCAACAGAGATGCACAGTGTTCCTAATACTATTCAAAACAAAGCAGGAAAGAATGATCTATTCAGTGCTCTGAAATTAAAGATCTGCAAGATGTAAGTTCCTTTTTAATTTTTAAATAAAACATCCTTTGAACTTCTAAATCCCATTCAAGGGGACTCTGACCTTTATCCAAGACCAGCTACTGTGCTAACACTTTGGATGCATATAGAGGAAAAATACGGACAAAAGGTACCGGAAAAGCTTTTACTTACAGGAATGCAGTGTGGCTTAATCTTTTTGTTTTTAAGGTGCAGTGATTTCAGCATCTACAATGTAACTTCAGGCAGTCTGAAAAGAAACAGGTTAAAATCTCTTTCAGTTATAATTGGTATTTCAGATTTAATTAAAAATTAAACTTTCATAATGTTTCACCATCCAAAGCAATGCATTATCAGTCAAGCGTAGCCTTTTTTTTTTGTTAAAAGAAGCTCTTCCCAGAGTAGTTTGCAATGAAAGAAAAAGGGAAAAAAGCAATTGAGAGTAGCAAAATATATTTCTTCAGCAAAAGATCTCTGAATAATTTGGAAAGAAGCCTTCTGCCACTTAATTTTAACAATCAACATTATACTAATTAAAAAAACCCCACAATTAAAAAAGACAGAAAAACACCACCACATACCAAAGACTGTGAGGATAAAAATGTTAATTTCAGCAAAACAAGGACACTGCTAGGACCAGAACATACGCACCAAAAGGGAAAATATGGTTTTACATAATGCCAGCCAACAACATTTTTTACTAATTCGTTCTACAGCATGCAGCACTTTCAGACTGTTGCATGGAGAAGCAGAGGAAGACAAGTTCAAAAGGAGTAAAGCTGTTTGTAAAGTGTACAAGGCAAAAGGTCCCTTGCAACCCTTTGTAAAGGGATATGAAATAGCTCATCTATAAAACTGTATGGTTTCTTATCATGTAAAATAAATGTCGCATTACTGTGCAAAACAGATGATTAAGAAGTGGTAGCTGCCGACACAGCATTCGAACAGATGCAAAATATTATTTTTTTCAAAATGCAGTTGAAATAGTTGGAATGACAATAAAACTCCAGGGGTTGTACCATAAATATGAGTTTAAATGTTAGACTGGAGTTTAAAACCTGTGGTTTTAATTATATCTAATTATAAAGGCTCCAAAAACAGGAGAAACGAGAAAAACAAAAAAATATTAATAATAAATTAAAACAATTTTGCAGTAAGTTGTCAGGATTTGGCCTCGTAATAACAAACCATACAGCAATATACACAGACACATACAATGTACCAATGACTCATTAAAGGAACAAATCAAAACTTCATTAAATTTTATTTTTAAAAGGTGACAGCAGAACTTGCCTAATTTACCCCATTCAAAGTCAAAGCTATTCTCCTCACCAGCAGCACACTCGCAGAGACGGTCAAATAAATCCCGGTGCAAATCTAATACTGTTTTTAAATGTACCACAGGCTGGGAGCAATTCCTAAGTGTAATTTTACATTGTTCTCCCATAAGTAAAAATACAATTCCTCAGATGTCAGTCTTATATGAGGCTTCTCAATCTATCCTCATGGATCTTTAAAATAAAATGCACCATACCAGACAATATACTGTCACACAAACATGTTCATACACACACCTATACCACAAACAAAAATAAGCTCACAAACTTATTTGTAGGTTTAGGTTTTCCACTCTGTCAAGATCAGAGGTATTGAAGAGCAGGAGGCAAAACAGAGAGTACAGAAGCGGACAGAACAGGAAGAACCAGAAACAATTCTTGAGCATTTGAATGAACAAGAGCCCTCTCATAGAGGCACTAGGATGATGCTGCCACAAGATAATCTTTATAGACTTGGATGAAATTTTTCCTGAAGGAACCACCTGACACACATCTGTGTGTTCCTCTGTTCGTCTTCCTTTAGACAACCTTATATCACGCAACTTTCCTTCTTTCTCCTGATTGACACCTAATAAGGTAGAGAAACCTAATAAGGTAGTGAAGAAATCCAGGGAAAAAACTGGTAAGTCCACCAGCAGCAGGCAATAGCACAACTGCCACATATGGGATAACAGTTTCAGCCTCTGAACTTCCATTTCTTTCACTTTCTTCCCCTTTCAAATTTACCCCTTTTCCAACATCTTCGGGACTCTAAGGCTGGCTTGCTGGCAGGGCAGGAGAGGGGCAGCAGTATTTAAAATCCAATGCTATTTCTTCTAATGAATGCAGTGAAAAACTGACCTCAACTGAGAAAACAAAGAGCATTCACTGAGGGTAAAATGTATCCCTGTGTAGAGAGCCAGTATAGAGAAGCCCTATTCCAATGACCTAAATAGGAATAAATTGGTGCATGGACTTCACCACAGTGAATTTTGTCCAAAATTCCATTTTTTTTGGTAGAGAACGAACATGGGCATCTCCTGTCAAAGCACAAAGGCACAGCACCTCCTTCCCGTGCTGGGCACAATCCTGACAACTGCTCTTCAGTGTATCTTCCTAGTGGTTTTAAGATGAAGTCTTTTGTGCTTTGCCCACGTTTTTCTGATTGGGAAGGGAAAGGGGGGAATGCAACATTTGGCATTACTCTGCAAGTTAGCCTGAGGACATAGTAGCTGCAGATAAAGTGGTCCCTCCCCTCAAGGCAGGCATAATTAGCACACACTGTGATTCTTCTAATACAAGAAATAGAGCCTTGGAAAAAGCTCTCTGTAAGAGCTTGCCTTCCTGTGCACAGGTGAGGATGCTTAACACTTGTGGGGCAGGAGATCATGATTGTTACATGAAAGGGGTGCCCTAATCCCCTTGTGGAAAGAAAAGAGACGTGGCTCAAGAACAGTCAATGAACTTCTGCTTGAGAGAAGCCCAAGAGCTGGAATTGCAAGAATGAGGACTATGGCAGGTCAGGAATGAGGCCCATGAGTAAAGTGTTAAAAACAAGGCAAGTGTTGCCTCTTAGTAAAGGTTTGAAAAACAAATATCAGAAGGTAAAGAGGTTTCACTTTGCTCTCTCACAATTCCTTCTTGCCACAAAGCTTATGCAGAGTGTGAAAACTGTGAGATTTCCCCTCACAGTTACCAACTCTACAATGACTGAAGTTCATTAGCAATATTTCATGACCTGCATGACTGTACTTTGCCTGACTCATGGTTATGGTCTAATTCACCACTTTGATAAGGATCAGATTCCTTCAATCTAAAAAATTAAAGAGAAGGGAAAAACATGTAATTTTTAATCGGAAACATTTCAGAAGATGTCAGCCTTCTGCAAACTCTTAGCAATAAAGAAGCTCCATATCTGTATAGCTCTGATTTTCCTTGAGTACCTTAACTCAGCTGGAGCAGGTCAGAGTCGTACACAGCTGATTAGTTATGAGGAGAAGGAAGACTAGAGGAAAATACATTATAACACTTTTTGATATCTTTCGAAATTTCTAGATATAGAAATTACAACCTCAGTCAATTGATCTTTTTCAAGCTCACTTCTTGAGCTGGAAATCAACAATGAAGCCACTGCCACAAGTAACTATTTAAAGAAGGCAAAATACTGATGTCCTTCCTCAAGGAAAAAAACCTCATTGATAATATTAAGGAAGTTGTCTTCAACAACCAGGGAATGAGGGAAAGGGAGCACACTGGGAAACAAATGGACACACAAAAATGAAAAACAAGCCCTTTACCTTCAGGAGAATATTCAAAAATACTCATGGGCCAGTTAAGAGACCTCAATCCAACTTCAGAATCGAAATAATTACTTAAGATATGGCCTAGAATAATTGTGTCACAGAAATGAAAAAGGAAAGTCAATTGTACAGGTACCTCATCTAGCAACAAATATACAAATTCAGGAATTGGAACCAGTATAGACACATTGGCATAATGCTCTATTCAGGTTCACTGGTAAAACAAAAGAGTAAATCTTATTAACACAGATATAGCACTACTTTATTGCTTTTTTTAGGTGAATGCACTTTAGTTGGTATTAACTCTCTATAAACAGCTTTACTTTTGCCACCCGTTCCTTGTCCTGAGTGGAGAGAATAAAAAAAGAAAAAAAAAAAGTAATAGCAGTGATTGAAAAATCCTCTCAAGAAGTTTGAATTGAAGCTCTTACTACACTTTCAAAAATATGCTGGAATTTAGGTTATTTCCAGCTCTGCCTTCAAACTCATAGCCATTTGTGGCTCAAACCAGAGTCAGAGAGTTTGTGGGGGGGCTTTGTAATCTGGCAGAATAGAAACAGAGGACAACCTACAGCATTGTGCTGGGATCAAGGGTTCCTCCCACTGCAGGAATGGACAACAGGAGACTGAAGGTTTCTTTGTCAAAATGGTAAATCTCTATCTGTTATTGGTTCACTGCAAAGATGAATGCCCACAGAGATTTTGTTGTCCTCATGGCATTCACCCTTCGAGTTTACTTTCTCAGTGAAGATGACACCCATTACAAATTTTAATTTCCAAACCATGGCTGTTTCAGCTAGAAAAGCATTTTAATCAGGAAAAAGGTGTATTTTTGGCAACAATTCACACACACCCCACATCCCCCAAAAGTATTTGAACTGGTTTTGTTCAGGTATGATAAAACCTGCCTTTGGGCAAAGACTGAGACTCCTTGAAATCTCAGTTTCAAAAAGTTAGAGAGAATCAACTGTATAAAAGCTGCAATGCATAATCCACTCTAATGGTCACTTGGAAACAGGTACTGGAGGCAATTTCACCACAAGGGCTCTCAAACCTGTTAAACTTGTTGGATCCCTTAACAGCACAGTCCATCTCCCTCATTTATTCCTCCTGCCATCAGAGTTAGCAACAAGCACTTGAGAAGCCCAGCTGTGAAAGCACGAGAGCTGAACTTCTCAACCCACAGAAGAGTTGGTCTCTATAGCTGCACTTATGATCTGACCTGGGCTCCCAGTGTTTAGGAGTTTAATGGATAGTTCTGTTATAGTTAGGTGGGACCCAGCATCCTTCTAAATACCTCTTGAAGCTTTCCTCCTACACAGGGGCGATGATGGTAATCAAGTTGGCTGCTGAAAACCATGATATTCCTTATTCCAACTGTTTTCTTGCACAAGCTGTCCCTAGATCCTGTTTATGTTCCTAAGGAACAGGAACAGTGACAGCATGCAGCTTTCACGAGGCCTTGCCCAAACAATTCTTTCTCTAAAGATACAGCTTTTTGTGAAGCAGCTCTGAAGCTGATATTTGCTGAGCATCTCTTGGAATACAGCTTGAAGACTTTACTTATGCCCTTTGCAAGCTATTGTAGCATATAAGCTTCTCCCACTTCTTTTCAAGGTTCATAATGCTTTGAT